AGAGGCGTAGCTGTGGTCGTGGTCCTGATACATTCCCAGTAAGTTAAAGGAGAACTCGTATTATGATTATTTTATCATTCACTAGGGCTTTACACTCAATTGGAATGTAATATTCAATCTTTTCTTTCACTGCCCTTTTTCCAACTTTATTTCACCATCTTTGCTGTCACCTTCTCATGACTTTTTTTTATCATGTGTCAGGTGACTGCCGCCCTCTAAAATATTCAAGACCCTTTTTATAGAGATAGTTACCTCCTCTCTGGTTCCGCCGATTCATGGCCTCGTCAATTCACAGTTCTTTTTTTTTACTTTGGCCGAAGTACCTGTTCCAGGCTGAATCGTGCTTACCAATTCTTTTCTTACCATCCTTGCCATTCCTTTTAGTTTGTACAAAACTTCTGTGGCTTCTTTCTCCGCTTGTTATATTTCCCATGCATTTCGCCTAGGGGCACTTTCTAAAACAGATCACGGTACAAAGAAGACACCGCCAGGATCACCTTCCCTCATTAATGTACGCTTGAAAGTAGCCTTTAGTAACGCTTGAAAGTAGCCTTTAGTACCACGGAAGGTTATTCGAAATTAGTTCTGAAAATACAGAGCCTTGAAGTATAGTGCGAAAACAAGCTCACACTTACTATCTTTTATCTATCGTTTCCTACCTTATGTCGATCCCTGATCGCCTTTTCCCATACGTTATACTGACTCAGCTTTTTTCTTCATTCGATCCGTGCATTCTTTCTCTATCTCAATTTTTCCATCAATTTTGTTCGCAATTTCTCGGTCTCTCCATCCTTCTTGATTCACTCAATATTTATATGTAATTACTTTTTTCTCATGGAATGAAATGTGTGTTTGCTTTTGTGGCGTTAATCTCTCAGTACACGAATTATGTTTGTCGGGAAGGATCGAGTTGAGGGCATCACAGGAAATCCCTGTTTGAAATTTGATGAATCGATAAAAAGTTTAGTCAGTTCGAGTTAATCACTTGCGTCTGAAACTCCGGCCAACCCTCATTTTTTGAAAAACTCATCTGCGCCTTCATATTTCTTGTTGGACAGTGTTCATACTTTGCGACCGTCGCACAGTTCGCCTTCCAATTTTGGTTGTGGAAAAGGTACGTATCGACCCACTATTCTGCGATCGCATGTGTGTTCACAGGTTTCTACTTCACAAAAAACGCAATGTTCAGAAATCGCTGGCACGACCATATTTAAAGCATTAGTTTCACTGGGGTCCCTACCTTCGATACTGATAGAGTGCAAATGAAGCGCTGCCCCTATTCAAGAACATAAGAAGTGTCACTGAAAAACACCTTGGAAAGCCGTTAGAAGGGGCTTGAATGCTGTCGAATGGCCGATGTCAGACTTTGCGATTGGAGCGATTTTGCACCAATTGCAGGAGCGACGGATCGCTTGAGCGATGCGAGCGACGGGAGATTTACCCGCCGACCACCGATAATTCGGCGCCATCGGTTCGTAAATCTCCCGTCGCTCGCATCGCTCAAGCGATCCGTCGCTCCTGCAATTGGTGCAAAATCGCTCCAATCGCAAAGTCTGACATCGGCCAATTGGGCGTTTTACCGACACTATTCGATAACGCCCACTTCCCTCCAGCCGTGGAGAGTTCGTGCGGCGGGCCTTGGGCGATTGCGTGTAAAGTGTCCCACCTTTCAAAATTGATTCTGCCTCTCTTTGATTGGTGTTACTTGTTTAATTCATTTAAATACTTATCGTATTTCTTTGTTTGTACTGATACACACGTCTCTGTTTTTATTGGTGCATATGCGATTACAGCCGCATTTGTCGGTGGCACAGCCAGCAATAAATACCAGCGAAGCAAGCTGGTTCAGACGGTCGACGGACTACTTGAACTCAGCCCTTTAAACCGCCTCTGCGCTCTCTCGCGGGTCCCTCTCCTCTCCAAGGCTTAGTCCTAGGGCATTCACCCGTTCTCTCTAATCGTCTGTGCTCTAGCCATCGCGGCAGGACCATTGAGGAAAAATCAAGTAGTCCGTAAACCTGGTTTAGACACTCCTTTCCTCCATTTTAAAAGGAAACAGAGGAAGTTCTCATTTAAGATGCAGTCAACTTGGCATCTACAACTTCATTATCGACCGTTTTCACTCTGCGAATTCAATCCGTACTTGTTGCTTCAACTGTGTACCGCTTGATGCATGTATGTAACACCCTTATGTGCTCGCGCGTAGCCACGTGATGCACAGTGCGTTATTGCTTTTTTGTTGAAATGGTTAACATTTCTCATGCTATAATGGCATTGGAATGAAGTTTCGTATCCGAAGGAAGACAAGCGAATGGGACTGCACCAGATAAAACGAAAGACCTAAGCTTCAGTTTTCTTTGTGGAAAAATTCAATCGCAGCCTCCTTCTTTTCTTGTCTGTTTGTGTAAGAGAGGAATCTGCAGCGCGATAACTTTGAATTTTCAAAGCATGGAGCGAATCTATTTGGACCACTTTATGTTTCTTTTTCTTTTATTCTTCTCTACCCATATATGCACGGTGCTCATATGATTGATTCTTATGGTGCAAATAATGTAGTTTTATCCGTGCCAAAGCACGCGGCGCCGAGTATAAACGGTTGCCGGTCTGCGCAAGAACGCCATGCTACGCAGTGGGTTAAATAAGCAGAACGTAGCTAACACAACTTTTGTTTTGATATATGCACTGTTTCAGGTCCGTCCATTTCTATGGGGATGGCTATCAATATTCCTTCCTCAAGTGCCGGCCCGATACGCCGTCGTCGCTTTAGCACGGCGAAGATACAGCCTGTAAGTTCATCATCCTTCTTCTGATATGCGGATTTTTTGCGCCCTGATTGATGAAACTTTTCGAGTGTATAAAAAGCAGTTTCCTACAATTAGGCTCTTATGGCAAAATCTTGAAAATGAAGCAGAGGCTCATTAATCGGGGAAGATAGTTTTTCTCTTGTCGGACTCAATCGGGGAACCGGGAAAACTTATTCATGCTAACATATGACGCATTTTCACTGAAATGACACGACGCTAACAATAAGTCGTCCTTAAAGGCGTTGAGAAACCTAATCAAAGTTACAACAAGTTCAAGAAGCGGGCATTTCGTGTCAGTTCTAGTAGCGCTAAATCATTCTAGCTTCGAACGACATTAGCTCAGTTTATGAATAGTCACGTTTTTAGATGGTTTTCCTCCAGCAAATAATTCTCAGCCAGTTTTGTATAAGTAGGTATTACCAGGGAAATTTATTTGAGTAATATTCGATCTTCGAATGTGGGTGTGGTTCACTAGGACAGAAAGCGACTTTTTCGCGTTTCGCAGCGCGAAACATTTTTCGCTGCGGGAACCTCGGGTCCACTGATGATCAGCGGTGGACCTGAGGTTCCCGCAGCGAAAAATGTTTCGCGCTGCGAAAAGCGAAAAAGTCGCTTTCTGTCCTAGTGAACCACACTCCTTCGAATGGCAAGTTCAACTTAAGACACCATGAGTTTTCAAGTGTTTGGCTATAAAGACAGACCCCGCTTCGCATTGCACATGTTGACCGGGCCGTTAAGAATTAATACGAATATAAAGAAGGAAACTCTTGAAAAATTGGTCTTCGCTTACGAAGGGGATCTCCAGGATACTCGATACACCCAACATTATGTCTTGTGTTTCATTTCTGTTTGCTGAAATCCTTGTCAATTTTTTTTCTCGTTATTTGCATTAAAAATTGCTTTTAAGACGCGGATCAAGAAGGTGATGCAGTCTGATGAAGAAATTGGCCGTATGGTTGCATCTGTCCCTGTTGCCATAGGAAGGGCAATGGAACATTTCGCCGAAAAGTTTCTTCTGGTATGCCTTTAGCTTTTTTTGAAAGTTACTTGTACCACGCCCGGGAAATTTCTCTTGGTTCGACCTCCTTTTCGGTGTCATTCTAGCAGGAGCACCTGATTTCTTAGTTCAAAGAAGTGGGTCTCTCTATTTGAAGTGAAGAAGAGATAGTTTGAGTTTTTGATCATCAAAAACAGTGGTCTTGATGCAATCACAGTAGTAGGGGTGTTATGTGTCTATCCGAGTCTGTGTGTGGCTGTCGCAAAATTTGGTATTTAGAGGGACTTGGTCAATTTTAGGATGGCTATGACATGAACCCATGCCAGAATGCAGAAGCTCATCTTCATATTCTCCCTAGCGTTAGTCCCGCGTAGTCGCAGGGTCCGCTAACAGAATGTGAAAAGCTATGTGAAGCAAAAGGAGTTGAAATGGATGTAAATGATGGCACAACGAGTAACCGTGTTCTAGACGCTCAACAGTGAATTGGCAAATTGACCGATTCCACGCACTCTAGTCTAACCATTCCGCGGTTTTGGCAGTGGGCTGGGGTGTAGTATTGTTCGATGTGATGTAGGTCCTCCCGTCACAGAACTACTTCATCTTGCTTTCTTAGTAGGACTGGTTGAGTGAAGGCGCAGTGCACTTATATTTGATCACTGCTATTTGTCTTTGCTGTTGGGGACCGCTTCTTAGAGAATACGGTTGTCAAAATGAATTTTCAAGAAATATTGGTATGCACAGCTGGATCCCTCACTATCGAGTTCGATTCCTGTCGTAGTTGAAAACTGCTTGACGTCGTCTCACGCTTTGTACCTTGCAGGCTGCTGCGCAGGCCACGCAGATGAGCAACTCTCGAACCCTCACACCAGCTCATATGTAAGTTTTGTGAGAATCTCTTGATTTGTCTTTTTTGTTGTTGATTTTCATTACAGCTACGGTTACATTCTGTTTTTTTATAGGAAGCAGGCTATGATGGCGAACCGACATTTTCATTTTCTTGCGGACATTTTCAAGGAAGTAGCGGTTCCCGGACGGATGGGGCCTGAGTTTGATCCAAACCTCTCGCGCCAGCAGATGCAACTCTTACAGGTGTCGTTTTAATCCTAGCGAGTTTTTGCAGTAGAATAAATAAATAATAAAGGACTACTGAAAAGCGCAGCTCTGACCTTAATTTTCGCTTTGAAGTTTAATTCTGAGTGAGCGCACAAGCGTTTTGTAGGGATTGTACGAAGAGATCGTGAAGTGATTAGGAGCTTTTTAAAAGTTGAGACAAATAGTGTCAGTTGCTGTGGTGTCATGTATCCCATAATGTCACCTTTTTTCATTTTTTAAGAGATTCTGTGGCGCTCCTAATTCTGAGATTCTGATACGTGGAACACTTACAAATATATCTGGTATATGGTCGAATTAGTTTGCATTCTAAAATAATCTTCTAGCAGTCCTCTATTAAACTTCTTGTTGCATTCATCGAAGCAGCCTTGTGCAGGGAAGAGTTTATTACAAAACTAAATAAAGTTTTGTTTTTGCAGGCCGGTCTTCCGGCGGTTCCTCCTGGTCAGAGTGCAAGCCCAGTTTGCAGCCCTTGCACTCCGATCTCGCCTATGGGGGCTGGTGGCTCCACAGCGATGGGAGTTCCTTCGTCAAGCAATGGTTCCCCTTATACGGTTCCTGTCCCTGGATCTCTACCTTACAATATTCCATATTCGCCGATATTGTCCAGTGTGGTCGTACCTGGACAGGCACAACCCATTCCTCCACCAATGCAATATGTGAGTGCGTTTGTGTTGTGTCATGTGTTGTCTACTTTAGTTATTTGTAACCACAGCGAATAAGAATTTTCATTAGTTAATTTATTGGAATTCCATCAGTCATTTTTTTTACTAAAAGTTATGGTAGAAACAAAGTACATATTCCAAACTATGAATGTGCAGGCGCATTGAACGTTTTTTGATGGTTTATGCTATGTGTTTCAGCCATCTGTGCCGCCATCCATGACAGCAATTTCGCCATCGCCTGCCTCCTCAGCATCATCCACCCGCAAGGCGCTAAACGGAAAAAAGACGGATGCCACAGCGGAGGGTGAAAAACCCAAACGTGGACGCCCACGCAAGATTAAGCGGTCTGAAAAGTTAGTAGAATTCTTCCTACAGCTTTGTACTTCCTTGGTTAGGTTTTTTAGTATGAAAGTTTTGCGTATAAAAGAAAGACTCGAGCTCTAACTTGAAAAGCGCTGAAAAACCATCTCAGTACTACGTACAAAACACGATGCGATAGGCTTTATAAAAGTAGAGGAGTGTTTTCTGCTGGGATTTCCTCGTTTCGCTACAAAACACTTCGATAACAGAATTTTTCTTTTTTTCTGGATTCGTCCATAAAAGCCTACATTTAGATGCCTCGACGACGAGCTGTGCGAAGAGGTAACGAATGGAATTGAAAAGGTTGGCATTCGTTCCGATTCAATATTTCGGCTTTATAGCGGCTTTGTTTATTGCTCCTCTTTTTATAATAACATATGGAGAATTGGTCAAATT